TATCTGATTTTAAAGATGTCAACTGCTTGTTATCGTTGTACTATGTATTGGTAAGGTGTAGACTTGAATATGCCAGTGTGGTATGGTCACCATTTTATTTTGTCCATGTACAGTCTCTTGAGCGTATCCAAATTAAATACTGCAAGTACTTGTATTTTGTAGAAAGTGGAGCCTATCCTCCGAAACATTTTGATAGAAGGGTCTTATACAACCGTTTCAGTATGGAATCATTAGAGGACAGAAGAAAATTTTCTTGCAATATTTTTATGTTTAAGTTAATCCATCACATGATAAATTGCAGTCATTTACTATCATATTTGAATTTCATTGTACCTCGGTTGAACAGTCGTCATTCTTTAGTATTTTCAATTCCGCATTCCCGTACAAATTATCATTTTTATTCCCCAATATTTAACATCTGTAGAAAGTGTAATGAATTATCGGGCCTTATTGATATATTTAGAGGTAACTTTAAAATGTTCCATAAGAACTGTAAAAGATTAATTAATAATGTCCCTGTGTAATATATAGGTATCAACTGTACGCACCTTGTGTATTATTGTTATTATTAACTAGTTTGTAATTATATGTATCTGAACATATGTTAACTGTAAAGTGTTGTTTAATCCTTTGTGGACCATCGGTCTGTTGGATTCAATATATTATTATTTATTATGACCCACCACTGACCCGGAAATGACCGGCATTCAGGCAAGACTTCTATCATTACGGGTACTAAGACCAAGTAATGATATGCATTGATTAGATTAACAGAACAACTTTCGAGATTCTAGAATTACAGCATACAAATTAGTCTGCTATTATTCTCTAATCTCACCCCATCCCCAAAAGTCTAGCCTAACTACCGACCATTTATCCGCGCATCACATGAAAAGTGACCTACACTATTCTGACCTACTGGTGCTAATCTAATCTGACTGACATGATCAGACTGTTCAAGAAACTTACGAACAATATGACATGTTCCTAACAAAACAGCTTTTTGAATTTTGACAATTATTGAATCATTCAAATGCAAAGACTTTAAATTCTCAACTAAGCTATTTGGAACTACACCTACATTAGAGATAACTAGGGGTAGAATTGAAATTTTTTTAAGATTCAACATGGATTTCATTTCTATCGATAATTGTAGATATTTTGAAATCTTGGTGTCGTATGTTTGAATAATGTTGTTTGTGTTAGGAATAGCAATGTCAATGAGAATGGCTTCGTTCGTGTGTTTTTTGATAAGTATGATGTCTGGTCTGTTAGCTGTAATGTTTAAGTCTGTAAGTATTGTGCGATCCCAGTATAATTTGTATTTGTTATTTTCAAGGAATGGAGATGGAATGTAAGTGTAATAGGGTGTCGTATCTTCGATTAAGTTCATAAGTGTTGCTAATTCTTTGTGAATGATTTTGGCTGCGTTGTCGTGTCTAGCTTTGTAATCAGTTTGTGCTAGGATGCTGCAAGAAGAGATTATGTGCTGGATCGTTTCAGGTTTTGCTTTGCAGAGGCGACAGCAGTCGTTTTTTATGTTCGGATCTTTGATGATGTATTTTCTATAATTCTTGGTATTGATTACTTTGTCTTGAATAGCAAACACAAATCCTTCTGTTTCGGCATACAAACTTGATTTTTTTAACCAAATCAATGACATCTTCTTATTGACATGATTTTCTTCTAAGTCTTTGTAGAATTTTCCATGTAGTTGTTTTTGTTTTAGCCCACTTATTATTTTATCTATTGTGTGGGGGGTGTGGATTTCTTCGGTGTTCGACAGATTTAAGGGTGTGTGGTTCAAATCTGCTCTTGTGATGGTGCGAAACATTTCATTTCTTTCCGCTCGTTTCAAGAAATACTTCTTCAAATCTGAGATTTGTCTCTGATATAAGTTTTCTAAGTTCTGGAAACCCCTTCCTCCATTCTGTCTTGGTAATGAGAATCTTTCAATCGATGATTTTGGGTGATGCCTTCTATACTGTGTGAAGATTTTCCTTGTTGCGATGTTTTATTATTATTATTATTATTATTATTATTATTATTAATAGTAATTAATTCAACCAATTCAGTCATCTTCCATTACATTTCTTTAAATACGGTCGAATTAAACTTTCAAGGTGGAGGTATGCTTTTTTTGCTAATTAGAAGCATTGCCCGAATTGGTTGATTTTTATAGGTACAGATTTTCTGTTTGTATTGTTTTGTTATATAATGTTATTTTTAGATTAAGCGTTTTAAAATAACAAATGACGCCTATTCGAGTTTTGCAGTGACCCGTTTAAGCCAAAATCGTTATTTTAATCGTCCTTTTTTGTGTAGGTGGACGTATCTAGACTTTTGTTTAAATATTTTATATTCTAACGATTCTCGACAATTATTTGTCGATAAAATAATGCCATAATTTCATACAGTTTTTACAGAAAGATTAGCATTATTTTTTAAATTTATAGTAAACGATCAGAATGTCTTCGGAAACGATTTTGTTAATCGCGAAATTACCAGGTTGTGGGAGTCGAGCTTAGCATGGACACAAAATTGTTATGTTGCGTGGGTAAAAAGTTGATGGATTTTCTCTTTATAAAAATCGAAAACTGAAAAGCGGGTGATGTTTTTTGCGAGAATAGCTATATGGCAATATAATGTTAAACCAACAACCACCGTCTGTGGAATTAAATTTAAGTTTACGGTAAAAAATTAGCCAAATATACATTTTACATTCGCAGTCGTATAAGCTGATATGAACTTACATATGTGTGTTCAGTTGTTTGCAAGCTTTTTATGAGCAGGATGGTAGCACTGGATATTGTTTGCCATGTCGCGAAATTTCATATTAGTGTTTAGAATTTGCCTCATAAAAAGTGTATCGCTTAAAGTTATATTCCTGCATGTGCGCTAAATTTAATAATTAAAAATTATTATTATTATGAGAACAGTTTTTATATGAATATGACGGGGTTGTTCCTATTTATGATTTTTGTTTTTAAGACGTGTGTGGCTGTATTTAGGGAACAAAATTTTTAACGGGATTATTTGTATACCCCTCGGTTGTATTCTAATGTAATTAATTTTTAAAATCATTAACTGATGAGTAGGCTTCGAATTTTAGGTCGTTAAAAAATGAATAAAAGGAGACATTTTTAGGTCCCAAAATTGACGAATTAGGTTATAAAAATCTTAGTTTAGGTTAAAAACCTGGAGGAAAAAATATTTGCTCAACGAAAAAGCATACATCAAAAAAATATATATTTAAAAAAATATATTAAACAAAACATTATAGAAACAAATATTTTGTGTAACAAACAAAAAAAATGATTAAATAAACACACGATCTATAGCTACGTCCACTAATTCTAAGTTATCGCAAAAAATGGCGATCAAATTAAAGCAAGTCGCATTTAACAAAAAATAAAATATTAATTCAGGTATTTAAAATGAGTTACAAAAGCAAACTATATATTTCTCTAAATTTTCGATTGTAAATTTACACCTTTGATCGCTTAAAACACTTAAGTTTTGAAAACGTGCGTTCCACATTATAAGAAGTGATGGGTGCAAAATTAAATATTGAACAATCTACGTTTTCATTTATGTATGTATTGTTGGTAGCATTTCCAGTACCGCAAATTACGTTATTTACTGAACATATATAAAATCGTATCCTGGATTCTTTTTTAATAGAGAACATAATTTTTGGAACGCCATTTCCCCCACCTTTCCTGGTGTGTTTTTTTAAAGATGTATACACTTTTTCCACAATTTCCATACCTTGGTTTAATTTTAAACTTGTAGTTTCTAGTTGTTCTGTTGCATCAGCCGTTTACTTTATTAAGGAATTCTTGAGCTTTTTTATGCTTTGTGCATCTGTGGCTTCAAATGACACTACAACCTAAAAAGATTCAATATAAGAATGATAATAAAAAACCATTATATATTCACTGACTTGTTTTAAAACATCAAAGTGTTCTGCATAAAACAATGCTGCTTGAATCCAAGTGCCCCACCTGGTTAATACAGGTTCAGGTGGGAGAGGTGTATTTGGTAAACTGTTTTTATAAAACTCTATTCTTATTGGTGCTTTTAAAAAGATTTTCTTAACATTGCTAATTATCCTATTGACATCTGGATAATTCAATCTAATTGTTTCAGACACTAAATGTAACCCATGTACCATACATGTTAAGCGTGTTATATTTTCATAAAACACCTTCAAATTAGTACCAGTTTTGATCATGTATTAAGCACCATCTGATACAAACCATTTAACTTTTTTGTGTTCAGTTCCTTTTGGCCACAATAAAGCTACAAATTAACAATTAAATAAATTATAATAATTTCAATGCCTAAAATTATCAATAGCACACTCAATGATTCGTTTATAAATCTCTAGATTGTGTTGCTATTAGTTTTATCAAGCTGCTTCAAAGCTAAGAAGTGGACGGCCAGCTTCTTCAGAAGATAACTTTCCAGTTACTAAATGGGCTGTGTATCTTCCTAATCTGTGCGTCGTCTCATCGACGCTAATCCATATATTATTATTGCCAATAGAATTTCTAATTTGTTTAATTACCTGTAAATTATAAAATTTATGTTAAAAGTTTTAAATAAAAATTCTAGTGCTCACCATATCGTAATCTTTTGGTAAATATTTTTTCTCAGAGTGCTTTCTGAGGGTAAATGCCTTCCTGTATATTTATTCATAAAATTTTTAAACTCAGGACAACTAACTTTATTCCATGGAATATTTGCTGCGGTAAATGCCCTACATAAATCGGTGCAAAATTGCGTAAAATCATTGTCGGAACTAATGTTTAATAAAGTCTGTTTACTGGATTTATTCTCGTTCTTTTTATGTGCATCGCCACTGCAGTGTTCTTCAAAGTGTGATTTTTTTCGCACTTAAACTATGAAACAAAAATGTGAACATAATTCAAGCTTCAGTATTTCAAATCTTTACTTACAACTTTTCCACTGTTAAACTTTCTTTGTATTTCAAGTCAGACAATGTTGAGTTTTCTTTGGGTTTCTTTATTGAACAAAAAGGCGCCTGCCAAACAAAAAAAAAACAAATGATAATGATTTACAACTTAAAACGATTTACACGTTAAGATTATATAAGGAAATAAACTGTATATATCATACCTTGTAACTAAAGAAACATCCCTGACAATTCACAAACTAATAATAAAATGACGAACCCTCACAAACTTTGCTTTCAATACCTTCAATAAATATCAAGACTACACCGCCATTTTGATTACTCATTTCTGTCTGGTCCTCTCACTCACCTCCAAACATACTAACCACTAGATGTATAAAATAATTAATTTCAACACTCCTTCTTAATTATTTTAGAACAAAGTGATTCAAACAATTTTCTTGGGAGAGATTTTGTAAATATATTAGCAAGTTGGTTACCACTATCAACATGTTTGAATGTGACGGTCTTGTCAACATGTTTTTGAATGAACCTCCGTGGGATTTCTATATGCTTCTTTCCTTTTGTAGGTTTACCTTCATGAGCATTGTACATCATATGAATTGCCGTTTGATTATCGATAAGTAATTCGATGGGTTTATCTTCCTTTACAATTTCAAGTTCCAGATAAATTCTTTTGATCCAACAAACATCGTCAATTGCAGACACGGCTGCTCGGTACTCTGCTTCAGCAGTGGATGTTGCTACCAAACGTTGTTTCTGTGTGTACCAAACGATTGGTCCTCCTCTCATCACAAGTACTCCCGTAGTTGAGTGTTTAGTCTCAGGATCTCCACCATAGTGGGAATCCGAGTAAGCAACGAACGTATCGCTTCCGTTAAAAAAGATACCATGATTTGATGTTCCTTTGAGATATTGAAAAATCCTTTTTACCATTCGCAAGTGACTCATCATTGCCTTTCCGTTAAAGCGACTTAGAAAGTTAACAGCAAAACTGATATCCGGTCGAGAAATTATGGCCAGTTACAACAGGCTTCCAATCGCTTCTCTGTATGGGATAGATGGCGATATGGGTTGATTGTTCAACTTGTCCTTTTCACCTATTACCATGCCTTTCTCAATGGGAGTTGACTTTGCATTGCACGTATCGAATTTAAAGCGTCGAATGATCTTCTCTGTATACTTTGATTGACCTACAAAGATGAGAATTTTGAGTTGATGATGTCGAGTATCTTGTAGATTTCCTTTTCATCATAGTCAGCGATAAGTTCGTCGTCGACGAACAAAGTTATTAGGATAGTCTTATCCTTATTGTAATACAAACAGGGATCATCATCGGTGTTCATTAATCCTATTTTCTTTTCAAGAAATTTTGAAATCGTATCATGCCAGTTCCTCGGAGCCTGTTTCAGTCCATATAATCCTTTCTGTAATTTGCAAACATAGTTGGTGCCATCTTCAAATCCTTTCGGTTGATGCATGTAAATTTCCTCCTCCAGGTTACCATATAGGAAAGCTGTCTTGACATCAAAGGGAACAAGTTTCATCTTCTGGGTAGCTGCATGACTCAGCATAAGACGAATTGAAGTATGACGAGCTACTGGACTGAACGTTTCCGTATAAACAATCCTTTCTTCTTGTTCAAAACCGCGTGATACCAAACGTGCTTTCAATCTTCCATCTGCCTTGTCACGTAACACCCATCTGCATGTCAACGGTTGAACTCCTTCGGGGCATTTCACAAGTCTCCAAGTTTTAAGTTTTTCTTGCATCGCACGTTTCCATCTATCATCCTTCAGTGCTTCATTGACAGTGATATCCTGGATTTCTCCTATCAAAGCTACATTTGCACTTCTGTTCGGTGTGAGATCGTCGAGTACATAATCTTTCAGTCGGTGTGGCATTGTTATCGCTGATCGATCACGAAGTCCTTGCCTTGTCTGAGGTGCTGTCTCTTCATCTTCATCTTCAGTAATTTCGCCTTCAAGATTTTCTTGTTCTTGATCTTCATCCTTCAGAATTGTATCAGACTCGTATTCTTCATCTTCATGACCTAGATCAGTCTTTTCAGATATTATTGGCACACTTCCTATAATGTCTCGGTATCTCGTTTCCTCTTCATCAAAAATCACATTGTCAGAGCAAATGACTTCTCTTTCTCCAGGTATGTATATTCGATAGCTTTATGACTCGGTGTCATATCCAACAAGGATTCCCTTCCTAGACTTCTTGTCGAGTTTCTTCCTTCTGTGATGAGTTTTCAGAACGTAGCAGTCACATCCGAAACTCCTCAGTTTGTTGATATCAATACGATGACCGAACCATAAGTCTGCTGGACTCTTGGCGTTGACTGAGCTGGTGCCAGTCTGATTCAAGGTGAACACGACGTAGTTGACAGCTTCTGCCCATCGATTTTCTTTCAAATTTCGCGCATGTATGACCGACCTCGCAGATTCCACCACGGTTCGCATTTCCCTTTCAACTCTGCCATTCTTTTGTGGTGTGTGAACGTTTGAGAACGTATGCCTGATTCCTCGCTCCTCCAAAAGTTGACATGTAGTTTTGTTCTTTATTTCAGTTCCATGATCCGACCTCAGTTCTTTCACCTTCCTTCCAAATTGATTTTCAACTTGTGTCAGAAATATCTTCAGCTTGTCTGGAGCTTTATCTTTCGACTTCAGATAGTAAACGGTTCGAAAGTGCGAATAATCATCTTTAAAGATCAGGAAATACTTCGCTCCTCCGATCGATGTGACATTCATTTCCCCAAGATCTACATGAACTAGATCCAATGATTGAGCTGCTACCTTCTCATTTTTGGGATGTGAAATTCGATGTTGTTTCCCATAAATGCATCCTTCGCAGACTCGATTGTTCCAGTCATCTATGTACTTGATGTTATTTCTGTCTAGGATGTCCTTGACGTACTTCAGGTTCTGATGTGCAAGTCTCTCATGCCAGGTGACAATTGAAGTTGCAATTAGGCTGGTGTTTATACTGGGTAGTCAGAGCATCACTCTATACAAATTCCCTTCTCGTTGAGCCATGGTAAGAACAGTTTGGTTGTCACTTGACTTGATAATTGATACATCTTTGTTGCACGTCTCAATGTGTCCTCTGTCCATCACTTGACTGAGTGAAATCAAGTTAAAGTTCAAACCTGTCTTCATAGACATAGAGCACGTCTTCCAGAATGACTAGTCTCCAGTTGTTACCATTGTAGGCTTCAAGTTCTATGTCTCCAACCGCTGAGGCCTTGAGTTGATTTGAGTCTCCCATAGGTGCGGTATACTTACCACCAGCGTCAGATGAAACTGTATATGCCAGTCATGTCAATACTGTTACGGATATATGTAATACAATTACAGATAGTGAGGTTATTATTTTGGGAGATTATAATTTGCCGAATATTGTATGGCAGCCTTCTGATGTTGGTAATGAACTTATTCCAACCATTTGTTCAGGCAGTCGTGAGTCGTGTGTCTGTGATAGTTTTTTAGCATCTGGTTTAAGCCAGTATAACAATATTGGAAACAGCTGTGACAATGTTCTTGATTTAGTTTTTTCTTCTTGCATGTCGTTAGAAGTATCAACTTCCGATTATCCTTTAGTATGTGTTGATCAGTTTCATCCTCCGCTTCAGGTAAAATTTGATTTAGTTTGTGATAATAATTATAGTGTAACATCTCCTATATATTATTACGATTTTAATTCTACTTCTTACTCTGATATTTGTACTTATTTTAATAGTATAAACTGGGATACTGTACTAAACAATAGCGACGTTAATGAAGCTCTTCATGCATTTTACAATCATGTTTACGTAGCATGCGAGAAATTTGTTCCTATTAAATGTAAAATACCATCTACTTACCCCAAATGGTTTAATAATAACATCATAAACTTAATTAAATCTAAGAAGTGTGCTCACAAGCAGTTCAAGCTTACATCCTGTGTCGCAGATTATCAAAAATTTTGTGAACTTAGACGGTTATGTAGAATAAGTACCTATAAGACAAGAATATAATAATTATATAAGTACAGTTGAAAATAATCTTGTGAGTAATCCTAAATATTTCTGGGAATTTATACGTGCTATACGTAAATCCTCAAATAACAATCTTGTTAATTTGCCTCTGAGCTTTGGTGACCAATTCTTTTCTGATGAGGTTGCGGCTTGTGAAGCTTTTAATGCTTATTTTTCTTCTGTATATTGTAATAATTCTAAGCCTGATTTTGATGTGTCTTATGATTGCGATGTTAGATTAAGCAATATATCAATTAATTTATCTGATGTAGTTGAAGCTTTGTCTAAACTTGATTCTAGTAAGGGACCTGGTCCTGATAATATACCACCGAAGTTTTTTAGAGAATGTGGTCCCTCAATTGCTACACCATTACATATTTTATTTAGCTTGTCTCTAAAGTCTGGTGAATTTCCCATGTTATGGAAGAAAGCACATGTAGTACCAGTACACAAATCTGGCAGTAAACACCATGTTGAAAATTATCGTCCAGTTTCGATTCTGTCTACACCAAGTAAATTATTTGAATCAATTGTGTACAATAAATGTTTTACCGAATATAAAAATATTATTACTCCATACCAACATGGATTTATTAATAAACGGTCTACTGTCACTAATTTACTTTGTTTTACGAATGAGTTAATTGACGCCATGAGTGTTGGATTTGAGGTTCATGCTATTTATGCCGATTTAAGCAAAGCGTTTGATAAAATTAATCACAGTATTTTAGTAAAGAAGTTAAACGCTTATGGTATTTGTGGCTCTCTCTTACGGTGGTTCAAAAGTTATCTCTGTGATAGATGCCAGCAAGTTAAACTGGGCCTAAGTTTGTCAAGTTTCCGACATGTACCTTCTCGTGTCCCCCAGGGGTCAATTTTAGGACCGTTTTTGTTCTCGTTGTTCATTAACGATATTGGTAATAACTTTGTCTGTGCTTTTAGCTTATTTGCTGATGACTTAAAAATATATAGGGTTATCAAGGGCCTTAATGATACAATGCTCCTGCAGAGTGATATAGTTTCATTGCTTCGATGGTGTGACGAAAATCTCATGATCATAAACAGTGAAAAATGTCATATCGTTAAATTTAGTAAAAAAATATCATCGTCATCTCCTGTTTATTTCATGCATAATAATAAACTAAAAGTTTCAACTACCATTAAAGATCTCGGTGTCATTTTAGATTGCAAGTTAACATTTGCGGCTCATATAGATAATGTAATTGCAAGAGCTAACAGAGCACTTGGGTGTATCAAAAGATATGGGAGAGATTTTAAAAATTTACGAACACTAAATATTCTATACACAACGTATGTTAGGTCAATTTTAGAATATGCCTGTATCGTTTGGTCACCATTTTATAAGACACATTGATAGAATTGAATCTGTCCAGAATAAATATATTACATTTATAATGCGCTCGCTTCCTTATGGTGTTAGAGGCTCCCCTAAACTGTGCAAAATTTATGTAGGATTAAATAATTTATGTGATCGCAGGAAATTTTTTAAAATTTGTTTCATGTTCAAGCTTCTTAATAACATATGTGATGCACCATCAATTCTTCACACGCTTAAATTTAATGTGCCCCAATATGCAGTTCCTTTGTTTTATATTGAAACTTACGGTCAATATTATGCATTGTACTCGCCTCTTAATAGTATATTGTTGGCTTGTAATCTAGTCTCAGCCAACGTAGATTTTTTTAATAACACTTTCAATAATTTTAAGGCGACACTGCGCCGCATTTTGTATAATTAGTTACTAGTAGTTATTATGTATCTTTTTATGTATGTAAAGGCTAAAATTTGCCGTCAATAAATCATTATTATAATGACTGTTACAGGTTGCTTCAGTTGTCTCAAATTCACAAACCAGCTTTTGTTGGAAGTTATATGTTGTGTGGCTCCACTGTCTTGGTACCAGTTAGCATTGACATCTTCTACTCGTTGTTGTTTTGGGAGCTCAGTACTCGACAAACCGACGGCTACATAAAGTTTGTTCGAACGACCTCCGAATCTTCTCTCATTCCTTTCCGACCTCTCATTATCCAATTTGTCATCATTCTTCTTTGGGCACTCCTT